GCCGGCTGGTCAAAAATGTTGATCACCTTTGGAATTTTCAGCTCTACTAACCAGCCATACAAGAAAATTGATTTTATTAGTACTAGAATACTTGGTCATGATCTGCTTTCTTTTTCTTCTTTCCTCTTCCTACCTTCCCTGGGCAAAGGTAATGCTGACCTGGTAATGACAGACCCTGGGGAAAGGAAATATAGTTCACCTGAGACTGAGCATCATGAGGGAAGTCTGATGTAGAGTTCAGCCAGAAGTAGACTGATGTAAAATCATTTGTGATCTGCCTACTTAAATGGTAAATTTTCTATAGCTAGAAGTTGCTTTGATGATTTGAACCAGTTGGCCCTAACTTATAACTAATCACTAGGCTTAAATGGAGATAGTAGAAGAAATTGGGTTGGAAACCCTAAATTGCAAACTATTTGGTAAACATTTATGGCCCTTCTGGGGCATACACTGTTTGTCCTCTTTCACGTAATCATCTGGAAAGATAAAATATGTGCCATTGAGATCATTTAGTAGCATGTACCAACTACTCCTTAAAAAAATAGTTCTGGAATTAATGATACACACAGCAGCATGGATGAATCTCAGAATAATTACTTTGTGAAGAAAGTTAGATGAAGAGAGTGCATACTGTATAATTTCATTTTTATAGAAATCAATAAAATCAAGCTTATCTATAGTGATGGCACATCAGTGGTTGCCTAAGGACTGTGGGTGGTAGTTGATGGGGGTTGGGGACAGAGGGAAGCACAAGAAGACTTTGGGGGTGATAAGTATGTTCATCATCTTGATTGTAGTGATGAGTTCAAGGGTGTAACATGTTAAAACTCATTAGATTGTACACGATAAGTGTGTGTAGTTTATTGTGTCAGTTTCTTCTCTTTAATAAAGCTGTTTAAAAAATTGTTTTGTACTCCAGGGTAAAATAGCTGTGTGTTCAGGATAAACACCTAGAGTGCTGCCTGTTTAGTGTAGGACAGGAGCTGGAAGAGTGCTTATCATAACAAATCCTTTGAAACCTGCAGTGCAAAGTCCATCTCAGAGAGGGTTCTTATGTATAGTGGGAGAGATATGACTAAGCTTTCATTTTCATAATCATGGCTGAGTGCAGCACTTGCACAAGAATTATGCAGAAAACCAAACCACATCAGTAAAGTAATAGAAAAATATAACTAAAGAAATGCAAGATAATATTACTTTTGCATAAAGGACATAACCCATAATAAATAATCAAACTTTAAGAGAAATAGGCCAAGTCATTTTGGAGAGTTATTTTTTACCCATAGAATGCACCTCCTAGGTCCACTCTGTTACTGTTTTTTTCAGTTGATAATTATTTCATTTGTGTTGTTAAAAGACACTTCTGAGAATGATGATGTTCACAACTAAGGATAATTGGATATATGACGTCAAAGGATGTATAAGGAACAACATTTTAACTTGAATTTTAGATATGAAACTTTGCCCAAACTTTTATTTTCTCTTACGTGTCATAAAATGAACAAATCTGAAGCTTATAGGAATTCTAAAAAATATTATTGGCACAGATGCTGAAATAGAAGTGATTGGACTCAATGGCTTTGTAACATAAATGAAAATGACATTGGAGCTTTGCTTTAAGAGCAGATTCTCTGTTAAATGAGTTAAAATAGTTGCTCTATCATATGATTAACAATATCAAGGAAGAAATTTGGATTTGGTTTATGACTCTTGTTGTTCTTAATATCCTGGTGTAGAAATGGATGATTTTCAAACCATAAGTATATTTATAAAGATGTAGTGTGAGTTTGCTGTTTAAGCTTTAAAGACCATTTGTATTAACATAATAATTAGAATTTTAATATTTGGCTTATTCACTTGTCTTTTTTTATTTTTATTTTAGCTTCCACTGAAGATTGACATCATTAAACATCCAAATGAAACAGATGGCAAAAGTACTGCTATACACGCGAAACTGTTAGCACCTGAATTTGTAAATATTTACACGTACCCTTGTATTCCGGAATATGAAGAAGAGGACCATGAAGTAGGTAGCTTATTTCTTGCAACTGTGCACATTGAATCTAAAAATGAACTTTAAATTCCAGTGTCTTTCTGAACTTACTTGAACACAATTTAATACTTTTCTTAATGATCTAGGGTTATCCTTATATCTAGCACTAAACAACATACACTTCATTTCATTGGTATCTGAAGAGATCAGACGATCCTAGATTTGTTAGACTTTTTTGAGTCTTTCCGCTTTTTATCATTTTTTTCTGAATTATTTATTTAAGTTTTTACACTTTGCCAATATTATTATGCCTGCTTTTACTTTCTCCCCACTTCATTGTCCTGCCTATACGACACATAGGTGGTCTAATTTGATGCGAACTGAGAAACCAGATTACAAACATTATTGGAATTTCTCCAAAAGAAGAAAAGAAAGACTGAGTGAAAAAAAATTTTCAGAAATTCCCCTAAATTTAGAGCTTTAGTATATGGCCTTTGTAACATTTCTTTTGTCAGCTCAGAGGCCTTCCTTGCTCATTTCTAGATTCTTAATTGGTTTTCACATAGTTGAAATTTCACATTGGTGAGATATTACCGGCCTTGTTGAAAAGCAATTTTGTAATAGATCTCAAAAAGAAGTAGGCATTGGGTACTTTTTAAAGAAACTTGTAAGCCATTTTAGGTATATTGGGGATCATTTATTGGTGTTGTTAATCAGAAACAAAATTAAAAATTAATACATACACTCAGTTCTAAAAAGAACTTGGTTTTCCTTTTTCATAAGTATGTTTTTTATTGAGTTTATATAGAAAATTGTGTTTGTAAATAATACCTGAATTTTGGATCTAGGAATATATTTGCATTTCCTTCGTTTGTCAGTGAGGTATAATTTATGTTAATTAAATAGAACACAGTGCTAGGTTCAGTAAAGTGATGTGATATCTTATAATCCAAGAAAATCTAAAACCCCTAGACTTTGCTAATTGAGTGCAGGGGGAATATTGGCATGGATTGTGGATGTTTAAGCAACTTGTATATAACTTTGAAGTTTAAAAATTCAAGATTTTTTGTTTCTTTTATTTTTATAATGCTTATTTTTAATATTAAAAATGATGCTTGTTAAAGAAAATTTGGGAAATACAGAAAAGTATGGGGATAAAATACTCATAATTCTACCAACATCTACTCATTTCACATATATTTACTGGATGCCTGCTTTGTGATAGCAGCCATTCCGACATTTCATTGAAGGCTCTAGGAGTATAAATTCTCAGTAAAGTACTAAAAGAAGTACTATAATTTATAGAATTTTTCCTTGAAAGTTAGATTTTTCAGTTTTAAGTTTTCACTGTAATAGATATAGTTTTAATAAATATTATGGGTGTGGTGGGTATATGGGTATTTAGGATTATTTTATTAAATGCCCATAAGTGAAATTATTTGATGAAAGAGTGTGAACATTTCAAAACTCTTTAAGTTGCCAAATTGCTTACCAGTATTGACTGTGTGTCATTTGTTTTGTCTATTATATAGGTAAAAATGGTATTTAATTATTGAGCACTTTTCAATGGTTCTTTTACAAAATATCACATACTTTGCCTTTGATCTTATGAAATATAAAGTTTAGTTTTCTCTTTCAAGGTACAATTAACTAGGCTTCTATCCACAGGTGAATAACTTATTTTGAAATAAAACTTTTAGGTAGTATACAATGATTATAAATTTCTTGGAAAGAGTCAAAATTTTACCATATGTATTGAAGAAGTGGATGTAGTAGAAACATGCTTGTTTCTTAGATATTCAATTTTTTTTCTCTTAAAGTTTTAAGTCATAATTTATTCATTCTGATCATAATCACACACTATTAACTTAAGTTTCTTTGCTTTAGGTTGCGCTCATTTTTCCTGGACCTAAGTCTGTCTCAATAAAAGATATTTCGTTTCATCTGCAAAAAAGGATTCAAAATAATGTGAGAGGCAAAAATGGTGACCCTGACAAGCCATCTAGTAAACGCAAGAAAACTGAAGAACAAGATTTGAATGACAGCAAGTACAAAGAGACAACACTGAAAAAAATTATATTTATAGATAGCACCTGGAACCAAACAAACAAAATATTCACTGATGAGAGACTTCAAGGTAAGAAAAAAAATTGTTTTTGTATTGCTTCCCCCCTCCCCCAACTTTCATTTCAGAAAACTTCATGTCTACAGACACATTAGAAGAATTACATTAACTACCCATACATCTTTTACCACATTTGCTTTATTTCTCTTTTCTGTATTATGTGTGTTGTATACTTAGATAAATATTTTTTTGGTTGAACCTTTTGAAAGAAGGATGTAGGCTTTACAACACTTCACCTTTAAATGCCTATATACGTCTTTTAAGAATAATTGCATGATCATGGTATCATTATCACTTTAAGAAATTAACAAAACTTCTGTAATGTCTAATATACAGTCCAAATTCACATTTCCCTAATTGATCCAAAAATATATTCTGTAGGTTTTTTTCCTCTGATGTATGATGTGGTATGTAAACTCACATTCCATGTGGTTACGTCTCTCTTTTTTTTTTATTCTTTTTAAAAAAAAATATTATAATAAGTATTACAAAGGGTATTACATATGTGTCCTTCCCCCCCGCCCCCCCCCGCCCTTGACAATCCCTGCCCTCCCTTACATGTGGTTACGTCTCTCCATTCTCTCTTAATGTAGAACAGTTCCCTGTTTTTGTTTTTCATGACTTAGAATTGTGTGAAGTGGACAGGTCAGTTGTCTGAATGTTTCGTCGTGATTAGATTCAGTTTAAAATTTTTTGCAAGGATCGTTACAGATAAGGATAAATCCAGGATTGCCCATGACAATTCCAGTTTATAACTATTGTTTTGGTATAATTATTAATAAGATTGCTTTTTACTCTTAGAAATGGGGCTATTTAACTGATAAATTATATGATTACCCTATTCATATAGGTGAAGTTGTTTACTTATTGCATCAGAACAGGAGGCATTTAAATAAGTTGTTCCATTATTGGTGATAACTTTCAGTTCTTGGTTAAAGGTGATTGCAGATCTCTCCGTTCTAAAGATTTATTTTCTTTTTTGACAGTAGTAGTAATCTGTGAGGTGATGCTTTGAAACTATGGACTGTCTATTTACCAACTGCTTTTCATTCAGAGGTTTTTGTATTCACTGATGACGCTTCTTTTAAATCAGTAATTATATCGAGAATTGCAAAATGATAAAATTTTAATTTTATTATTTCTTCTATATTTGTTGGCTGGCATTCTTATGTAAGGAAGAGCTTTTCCTTTTTCTCCTCCTCTTTTGTCCTCTCTCCTTGTACCATTTATGAGATCACTGTGGTGTGATACATGCCTTTTTAATTCAGTATGTTAAAATCTATAATGATTATATATGTTTTTATGCCCAGATTGTCTCAGATTTTGATAGTGGGAGCGCTTCAAGTCCTTTGAGGCATGGCCTCATTAGTCTTTCTGGTTCAGCACTTTTTCCTTCCTCAGACCTAGAATTAAACATTCAAAGTTTACTTGCACTTTTCTCCTGCCCCAGACCAATAACCAGTCATTCAAAGGAACTGTGGGGCTTTTTTAATGGGGAATGATATTAGAAACCAAGATCTGGTAAATTTATTACTGTTTGGATGTCGTTGCTTCAAAGGACAGAGCCAAGAAAAAAAAAAGTGTGTGTGTGTGTGTGTGTGTGTGTGTGTGTGTGTGGAGAGAGAGAGAGGCAGCTTTAACATTACAGTGATTTTCTTTCTTGTTTTATATCTCTTTTTCTCTTGGAGTGAAAAGATTAGTTCCTAATAATAATGGTTTATTAGTAGAAGAGTTGCTTTATTCCCCCAAATCAGTAATATGAAGAACAGGAGCTCTTATGAACTCTCATGCTCTGTTTCACCTACTCAGTTCCTCAGGCTTTCTCAGTTTTTCTAAAAGCTTTAGTTTTATTTCCAGCTTTTTGCTGGCTTTATTTGTGTACCATATGCGATTATAAGGCAAGAGAGCTAGCTACCAACCTAGTTGGTATTAGAGTTGCCAAAACAGTTTCCACCTGGGAGAGCTTCTCCCAGGCTGTTGTCAAAAGTACATCATTTAGAAAAGAAAGTTTATGGCACTTTTCGGAGTCTGACTTGTGTTAATCAGTACCAAGCTAAAGCGAGTGACATTAGTAAAGTTAGTTAGCTTAATTTATATGGTTCATACCTGTGAAATCAACATAAATGTTAGTAAGATTGCTTTCCTGTTCTGTGTGTGCTTATGTGTATGTGCGTGAGAAAGAGAGATACAGAGAAATTGTGTGTGTGTGTGTGTGTGTGTGACACACACACACACACACACACACACACACACACACTTGTGGTGCATATGACCTGGAAGAATCTTGTTGCTGATGTTTAATAGAGAAATGGAAATGGAACCCTAAAACCTTGCTCTTTGGAATACTGCCGGCCACATTATCTTGGATGGTTACAGCAGCAAATTACTCCCCAGTTTGAAGATTTTTCTGAGCTATTTTTCTTTATATGGTTATTGAAAGGATCCAATGAAAGAATGTAAGTGAAAACACTTGAAAAAAACTATATAAGGAATTTCTGAGGTACAATTCAAAATCTGTTTTCAGAGTGTCCACATGTGTGCTTAAGGCTTAAAATCAGATTTGTACAGAATAATTTTTGTTCTTCCCACATCACATAGAAAGTACCATCCATTTTAATTCTGGGCTACATTACATTTTTAAAAAGTATTTCTCAATTACTTGAAAATCATGAAATAAACTGATTTCTAGAGTCAGTCTTCTCTGCATGTCTTACTCTGGCTCCACCATTCACCACAGGGAAATCAGGCTCTGTGCATATTTACAATCTCTGTATTTGGGAACTACCATTTTCCAGATAAGCCCAGGTACTTCCACAAGAAACAACCCATGTTTGTTATAAATCATTGCCTATAGGCTTGAAAACATTTTATCATTTCATGGGATTAATGTGAACAACTCTAAACCTCAGTTTAAACCCTCAAAAGTAATATATTAAAAAAATAATGTTTCTGTTATCTTACTATGAGTGCTGAGGTTACGAATCCCCTTAACAATGTAAAAACATATCATTTTGCCAGACTTTACAGAGGAAAGCTCTGGGTGTTTTACTACTGTCAAAATAAAACATTTAAAGGTTAAATGTCTAATTTAATCATATAGTGTAAACCTACACATGAACTGACATACATTCTTGAAGATTCACCATGGGAAGCTTTGGGGGGATGTGGTGGGAAGGATGGTTTTCTTTTTGTTAGGGAGAGGGTCCAGATGATTAAAGTGGGAATTATATCGTAATTTGTTTTAAAAATTGCCAGCTCTATCCCTTCATTTTGACAGATTTGTTCACATTATAAACATTTCCCAAACTATACTTAGTGTGTTAATGCTCGTCATCCTAGTATATGATCTCATTTAGTCCTCACAACAATATGATTTTCATTCCCATTTTTTTGGTTGAAGAAATTCAGGCAATAATTTAAGAGGGAAAAGCCATCTACAGTTACCTGCTTTCAAGTTTTACTGCTAAAATAATTTGTGTATTTATCTTAAAGTTATTGATTGCCAGAAATACTGGCAAGAAATTTTTTTAAATGTATATATCAAACTTTTAAAAATATAAATTTTCTAACTAATTTCATGTCTGTGTATTTTAGTGTAATTTAAAAGATTCTATATGTCTATATATTTCCAAGGAAATTTTTAAGACCGGATATATTAGTGGTGATAGTCACTAAATCTTGGTTTTTATATTTAACTAGAGGCCTGGTGCATGAAATTTGTGCACGGTGGCGGGGTCCCACAGCCCAGCCTGCCCCCTCTCACAGACTGGGAGCCCTCAGGAGTCTGGCCTCCCTTTGCGAGAGGTGACCGGGCTGATCAGGGGAAGGCGCCAGCCCCATCACCCTGCTGCTGCTGCCACTGCCACAGCCGCCAAGGTGTTTTCATCAACACGGACTCCAGTCCCTTCACCATGAAAAAAATGACAACTTTCTTTAGCATTTTCAAAATGTGTCTTTCATAGGATATGACATTTCTTTTTTTTCTTTTTTTATCCTCACCTGATGATATGTTTCCATTGATTTTTAGAGAGCTTGGAAGAGAGAGGGAAAGACAGAGAGAAACATCAATGTGAGGAAATATTGCCATGAGAAAGACACTTCGATTGGTTGCCTCCTGCATGAGCCCTGACCTGGGCCCCGGCCAGGGAGGAGCCCGCAACCGAGGTACATGCCCTTGATCAGAATTGAACCCAGACCCTGCAGTCGGCAGGCCGAGGCTCTATCCACTGAGCCAAACCGGCTAGGGCAGGATATGACATTTCTTAGCCCCTCCAGCAGCGGACCTTAGTTTTCTCCTCCAGGAGTGAGGTGGGAAAACCCTAGATCACCTTCTTGGATTCTTATTACCCAAGTTACTAAGAACACTGCTAGTGGTGGCGTACAGGGAGCTTAGCCAATGAGCAGTCATAAAGGTGTTTCCTCTGCAGCTCATGTGCAGAGGACCCCCTGCATTGTGTCTGCTGGGTTGGGGGCATGCCTGAGCTGTGCTGCAGCTTCTGGGGGGCACGCTCCCAGCCCAGCAGCCCCGCATTGTGTCCCCAGCCCGCCCTCCCTCCCTCCACAGCCAGGGCGTGGGGCGCTATGGGTGCCGCCATCTTTGTGTCAGAGTGATGGTTAATTTGTATATTACCCTTTCATTAGATTAGATATTTTAGAATATATTATATGTATTATAGAAACTAGCATTATTATAATAGTTGCTCTTAGTTTGTTTCTTTTTATAAATTACATTGATGATGTCAAAATCCTACATTAAGATTTTTTTTAATTTTATTTTTCAATTACTGTTTACATGCAATATTATTTTGTATTAGTTTCAGGTGTACAGCATAGTGGTTAGACAAGGGGTCCTCAAACTACGGCCTGCGGCCACATGCAATACAAATATTGTATTTGTTCCCGTTTTGTTTTTTTACTTCAAAATAAGATATGTTCAGTGTGCATAGGAATTTGTTCATAGTTATTTTTAACTATAGTCTGGCCCTCCAACGGTCTGAGGGACAGTGAACTGGCCCCCTGTTTAAAAAGTTTGAGGACCCCTGGGTTAGACAATCATATACTTTACAAAGTGGTCCCCATCGCCTATGTTAAGATTTTAATTGTACTAATTGCTTACAACATTTTCAATACTTCTAGAGGCATTAAAGACCATTAACCTGCCTATTTTCCTCTTAGTGAGTTTCAGAATGATGTTTTAAATGTTAATTTATCAAGGAAATGAAACCCTTCTGAAAACTGGTGTATTTAGTCCTGTCACAAGTTTAAATAAAAAACAACAGTGGTAGGTAGCAGAAAGAGATGACTCTTGTTGTGGCTGTTGCTCAATGGTTAGAGCGTCAGCTGTGGGTTCAATTCCCAGTCAAAGGCACATATTTTAGTTGCAGGTTCAATCCAGGCCTGGGTTGGGACTCGAGCAGGAGGCAACTAATCTTTCTCATGGAAATATTTCTCTCTTCCCTTCCCCTCCCCCCACTCTCTCTAAAAATCAATGGGAAAGAAATATCCTCACTCCTGGGATGAAGATGAGAGAGAGAGAGAGAGAGAGAGAGAGAGAGAGAGAGAGAGAGAGAGAGGAGAGAGATATGAATCCCTTAAATATTAACTACTTTTACCCATTGCTACTGGGTCCAAGACTTACAGTTATAAGATTTCAATCTGTGTTTTATATTGCTTCTGTATATACTTTAATGCATTTAAGAAAATATTTTATTTCTTTATTTTTGTTAATCCTCACCCAAGGATATTTTTTCATTGATTTTTAGAGAAAGTGGAAGGGAGGGGGAGAGACAGAGAGAGAGAGAGAGAAACATCAATGTGAAAGAGACACATCAATTGGTTGCCTTGCACACAAGCCCAGACCAGGGCCGGGGATCCAGCCTGCAACCAAGATACGTGCTCTTGACTGGAATCGAACCCGGGACCCTTCAATCTGTGGGATGATGCTCTATCCACTGAGCCAAACTGGTTAGGGCAAAAATATCTTACTTTAAATTAGGAGCAAGGGGTTTTATCTGTGCTCTTTAAAAAAAAAATTTAAGAGAAATCATTTAATTGTACCACACCCTGTGACTAAGAAATATTTAGTCGTGGGTGGGTGGTTCAATTAGTTGAAATGTTGTCTCATATACCAAAAAGGTTGCAGGTTCGATTCCAGGTCAGGGCACATACCTAGATTGTGGGTTCAATCCCTGGTCATTGTGCATATGTGAGGCAACCAATCGATATTTCTCTCTCTCTCTTTTTCTTTTTCTCTGTGTCCTTCCCTTCCTCTTCTCTGTCTAGGATCAATAAACATCCTTGGGTGAGAATAAAATGTATATATATTTATACTTTTCTTATTTGTTTTTGGCAGGGTTGCTACAAGTTGAGTTGAAAACAAGAAAAACTTGCTTTTGGCGCCATCAAAAAGGGAAGCCAGATACCTTCCTTTCCACAATTGAAGCCATCTACTACTTTCTGGTAGACTACCATACTGATATATTAAAAGAGAAATACAAAGGACAATATGACAATCTTCTGTTTTTCTACTCTTTTATGTACCAGTTGATAAAGAATGCCAAATGCTCTGGAGACAAGGAAACAAGAAAAATTACTCATTAGTTTTTAAGAAGCCACTTTTGTGATTTTATTTTGCTAAAATCAATAAACTTGTAATTGTGCTTTGTTTATTCTTAGGGAATATTCATGTGTCATGTCTGCAAGACCACTTTAAAAAATAAGGCTTTATTTATTTTACCTCATATGTTTTTTTAAAATATATTTTATTGATTTTTTTTCCTTCCATAGTTTATTTTTATTTTCTTTCCTGTCTCCCCCAGCCCTCAGAAATGCCACCATATAGAGCCCAGTAGCAGGTAGCTCAGCTCCATCTTCCCCTTGGGTAAGAAAGGGTGGAGAGAAGGGAGTCACTCCTGAGTCTCGATGCTTTCCTCCTCCTCTCCTTGAGGTGGTTCTTCTGTATTCTCCTCCTCTTCCTCCCCTTCCTTCTTCTCTGGTGGCTTCTCATAAGCCTCTTCTGAAGGTGTCACTATCACTCCATCCCAGGTAGACATTTCAGAAGCAAGATCGCTGGCATCACCCTCCTGGCCAAGGATCTTCCTAAAGCCACCATGTGAGAGGATTCGGACCAGAGTCTGAGCTGTGTAGCAGACCATGTCCTGCTGTTCCAAAGTCATGACCGTGTGTACTCTGAAGGTGCCACTCTCACAGGGGTCTGTGATACCCACTGACCCTGGCAAGAACAGTCCTGCAGCCAGAATCTGCAAGCAACGCCTGTATGCCACATGTAGGGCCAAAGGCTGTCTGGTGGGGTCGTTCATCACGGCACAGTGCCCAAGTAGGTCAAGGATCCAGGGTGTGAGGGGCTCAAAGCCAGGAAAACGAATCCTCGGGTCCTTCAGAAGTCTGATGAGAACTTTAACTGTGGACTGAGAAGCATTTTCTTCAAACCAGCGGGCATGGTGGATGGCTGCTAAGGCACTCTGCAATACCTTGATGTCCTAATGGAGTTCTGGACCCAGTTTTCGGAGATTGGGTGGCACTGTTGTAATGAGAATCTTCACTGTAGCATCAGAAGAACTGATCTCAAAGCCAGTTTCATTGGTCAGCATGGTCCAAACCTCAGAAGGATCCTGTGCTCTTAGGCTTTCCACGGCTGTGTTCCCTAGGGCAGCAACAGCTTCCAACGTTGGCAAAATCTTTAGGATTACCACCAGGTCAGCCACATGATGTCCTGTAGTCATTGTTTCCTTTTTATATGATCCAGCCTGTCGCACTTCTTCAATTTGCACTTCAAATGCCCCTGGAGCCACAATCTAATTGTCAGTCACATTGTTTATTTTTGTCACCAGAGAAAGGAAAGGATAGAATTAGGAGCAAGGTCCTGATTTCTTTTCGGCAATGCCTCACTGAAGGAAGACTCATCAGGTGCTGGCTTAACCCGAGGGAATGCCATTTCACACAAATAGAAATCAAATGGGATGTGGGGCACCAAGGGCCTGAACCCTCCTCCCGGGCTTCCTCGGGAACCAAAGCGCCCGCCACGACCTCGCTGCGATCTCGGCCTCTGTCGTCCCTCATGGCACCCCAGATCCTGAACAATGGAAGCCACACCCACCGCCCCAATCCTCCGAGCAGCCGACAGGCGCAGAGGCGGCTTGCCGGTATGCCAACACACCACACGATTGGCTCCCGCCTCACCACTCCGCTTATGCCTATTGGTTTACCATAGAAAACGGGCGTGTAAACCAATTAAAAATCCCTGCTGCGTCAGGAACTAGCCAATCAGATTAGACTAGACAGTATTTTTTTTTCTTTTTACCAAATATTAGACGGCACTGTGGAAAGAGATTAGGACAGAGATCACGTAGAAAACTTTCTATAGGAATCAGGAGCCACCTATACCAGCAGAAGCAGAGTGGTGCAGCGGAAGCGTGCCGGGCCCATAACCCAAAGGTTGATAGATTGAAGCCATCCTCTGCTAGCAGGATTTTTTTTTCTTTTTCTCTTCACTAGAATAAAAGAGAATTTTAACTTTGCCAGTAAAAGTAAACGCCATCCTTCTACTTTTTCCTCCCACAAAAATTGCAATCTTTTGAAGCTGTTTTTGCCATTAGCAAGTGAAATGAGGGAATAGGAAGGGACTTTAAGCAGCAATGGACACTACTCAGAAGCAGCAGCTCTGAGAAAAGGAGGCGTGTGTTGATTGAATCCGAGGGGGAAAGCACTGAGGACTAGAAAGGAAACTGAGGCAGCTTCAGAAAGAGATTTCAGACAAAGCGAGCAAGGGAAGAAGCAAGGAGAGAAGAACCCGGCCCATCCCCGTGGCAGTTTCCCCTGCACTTCTTTTCTTTCCTCATACTACAAACGGATGGGTTTTACCTTATGCGAGGTTTTTCCTATTTTATTGATTTTTTACAGAGAGGAAGGGAGAGGGATAGAGTTAGAAACATCAATCAGCTGCCTCCTTCACACTCCCCACTGGGTATGTGCCCGCAACCAAGGTACATGCCCTTGACCGGATTCGAACCTGGGACCCTGAGTCCGCAGGCCAACGCTCTATCCACTGAGCCAAACCAGTTAGGGCTTACCTCATATATTTTTAAAAGATGTCATTTTTAAGGAAATTTTCAGAGATAATGACTGAAAAATTAGCTTCAGAAGTTATTAGCTCAAGTTTGGGATATCTCAATCTTACTACTACATTTTACTATAATAATGTGTTATATTTATATCTATTTAATTAGATATATTTAGATATTTGTTTAAAGATCCTTGTATCTTTCCACTTATTCTCACTACCACGTTTGGAGGTAAATGGGATCAGAATCTCCTTGCTGACAGTGAAGTGATAGGTAATTTGTTTGAAGTTAATGGCAAACTCAGGCAGAACTAGAATTGTAGTTCCAGTCCCTAGAACTATTTCACGTCCACACTGCCTATGATGGACAATTGTTGCTTTGTACATCTGTCTGGCATCTTTCTTAGGGAGAAATTCCTAGCAGTCATGGGTTCCTGTCATAGGCTTGGACACATGGCTCAGGTGGTTGATTCAGTGGTGAGCACATGACCCAGCATCCTTTCTGATAAATGGTGTGGATGCTTAAAAGATAGGGCTTATTTATCAAGAAGCACTGAGTGCAGTGGTTAAAAGCGCAGACTCTAGAGGTAGACTATCTGAATCTAAATTTCAGCTTTCCTTTTCCACTTACCAGTCATGTCAGTTTCTTCATCTCTAAAGGTAAGGTAATACAATAGCTACCTTACTAGTATAGGATACTTATGAGAATTAACTTGAGTTGATGTATCTAAATGGCTTTCAAAAGCACCTGGCCTACAGTAAGTCTTTTCTTTACCCCTTTATTTTATTTGGAATTGTAAACTAAATGAGATAACCTTAGAGCTGCTGCTGGCATCTGTGCTGCAGGTGGCAAGAGCCTGCCTTAGAATGAAGCCACCAAAGGAAAGCAGAGCAGAGAGATAGAGACGGAGTCCTGAGGACATCATTTAGTCACCTAATCTACCTGCTTGTGAACGGAGTCCTGTGCTGGTAGCTTCTGCGGGCCCCTCCGGATGCCCCCTCCACTCTTCCATTCTTCTCTCAGTTCTCTCAGGTAGGTAGGTTCCTTTACCCTCTGGCTTTTGGTTGGTTTCAACAAATGAGAAGCACGAGCAAGAGATTGGAGGTTGAAAAGCAAATGAAATTGTGTGTATTTCCCCGGCCTCCTTTCCTGCCAGGGCACTGTAGTTATCCTCTATTGAAGGCCATTCTTCAGTTATTGCAGCTACACTTTTGCATTTCAGGTCCCCCCCCTCCCCTTTGCCCCTGTTCACTTAGGGATAGTAATGCCTCCCAGGTATTATTAGCTCCAGGGTTTCCATAAACCCTGCCTATATCTTTGTAAATAGTCATTTAGCATATTCTTTTACTTAAACGTCCCCATTTGAAGTTGCCCTCTGTTTCTTTCTGGGACCCTGACTGATAAATTTACTCATTTGGATGCTAGAAATAATAGTACATTTCCCAAAAGTATATTCAGGGGGACACATGTTTCATGAAAATACTAGTTAATGGTGAAATGAGTTTGCTGCACATTATATTCCCCTCTTAGAGATTCAAAGGGCACAGCATAAAGATGCTAAAAAGTCCTGAAATAAACATTTAGAACTTTATTTAGGTTAGTATTTCTTAAACTTAATTGAATAAATAATGGCTACTAACATCCTGTAAAAATAGGACATTTGGAATATTGTAATATATAGCAATCCCTGATTTTGTATACATGTGGAAACTGAGGCCCAAAGAGATTAACTTGCCCACAAAACTAGTTAGTGATAGAACTTGGTCTAGAATCTGGGACTTCTGATTGGTTCCACGAGGTCACCATTTTATTATGATATTTATGAAAAGGAGTGTAGATTATATAAGGTTTGGACATTATTAACCCTACAGTCTTAGCCAAATAAACTAACTGGCTTGTTTATTTAGCAGTTATTTTACAAGAATGGAATTAAAATGGATTTCTTCATCTTTAGAACTTAGTGCTGGGAACAGAGGAAGACTGAATGGATTTAAGCAAGCCAAAGTTGGATTTCTTGTTGAAATTTGGACTTCCCTGAGCCAAAATCCATTGTCATGAAACTGGCTCTACAAACAACTAACATAACAAAAGGGAGGCAGGGAAAAACAACAACACAATTCTATCACTCATTTGTTCCCATTTGGCATAAGATGACCCACATTGAAACAGAGACTGAAGGGATGGTTACCAGAGGAGGGTGGGGTGGGGTAGGGGGATGGGTGAAAAAGGTGAAGGGGAATATAGTCCATAATATTGTGATAAGTTGACAGGGTGACTGATGATTGGTTACTAGAATTACTGAGGTGATCACATTTTAAGGTATAAAAATATTGAATTACTATATTGTACACCAGAAAAACAACTAATATATACCAACTATACTAAAAAGGACCCACTGTGGGAGCACAGGTCCTTAATCCTGCTCGACTACACTAACTGTGGAGCAAATTCCCTTGGACTCCAGGTATTAGACAGAGGAGACATGAGAAGTCACAGGTATATAGGAAAGGCTTTATTGCAGACCAGTAGCCATTGCTACCAAGGAGCCATCAGACAAAACAGTTCTTCAAAGGAGCCTCACAAAGTAGCCGGCTGGTCG